TCTTACCGTAGTGAGAAGCGAATTTCTAACAGCCTGTATTCTTAAAAATATAAATTTTTGCAAATTTCTACTAATACCGTTCAGTTGGGGGGAGGAAAGGGAGTGATCTCTCCCCTTTAATTCAATTAAAACGCCGGGCATGACGCGGGATCATCATATTTCAGTTTTCCGTGGCCAAAGGCATTTAAAGTCGTTACGGGCGTCGATATTACGTTCGTTTATCATTTATTCCTCTCACGTACTCGGATGTTATTTTTTGATCCGGCTATTTCGTTTCTGTTTTACACTCGCTCTGGGAAAATCCCCCTGCACCACGAAATGTAAAATAAGTTTTAACGCGATGATTTTTCTATAAATGTAATAACTTTCGGAAAGTCTGACGGGGATTTATTGTTTCTCTTTCCGACGATTTAATATCCGGGTAGCGAGCCGGAAGATCTGAGCGCTTAATAAAATTTGGGAGGAGAATGTCACCTATATTGCGGCGGGAACTTGGCATTAGAATAAACAAACATGAATGTAGAAAAATGACGGCGGAACGACAAAGAATAGTTCTTCCTTTTTTTAATAAAAACTATTAAATGTTTTGTGTTGCCAGCATGTCTCATTTGTTCCTGTTCTAGTTTAATCCCGGGAAAGTTTTGGAGGAAAAATTGTTTCCGTTTCAATTTTATGTAGGATGGACCTTATTTATGTACAGGGTGTCCCAAAGTTCGCGTCTCGGGACCATAACAGATAAACGAAAACCGACAGTAAAAATTTGTTTATAGTCTGTTTAGAAATGAAAGAGAGTAATAAAAGCTTATTATGTATGCAAATCGTAAATATATGTAGTACTGGTGCTTATATTCAATATTTTTATATTATGTATTATCGGTATAGATGAGGTGTACTTTTAAAAAAACTTTGTGTGACCGGGTTGTACTAAATTGTAGCAGGTAGCTAAAATTTAATCCCCGACAATCCGTCTTTGTCTATGCCGCTTCAATTTCTCGGTCCATTTCTCTTATAAGTAAACAATATAAAAACAGCATTTCAAAACATGAGGCTACTTTAAGCATCATAACCGGGTTAAGAGGGTTTTTAGTAATTCAAATAAAATTATTCAATATTATTATCAAAATATTTATTTAAATTTAATGAATAGACTTTTATTCCACACAAAAATATATGTATTTTGAAAATTCAAATTATGGTGAGTAAATGTAGTGTTGTATAAATGTACAATAAAGAAAATAAAAAAGTAGGTATATTAAAATTCATCCTCTGAATATTCTGATGAATTATCTTCGTCTCCTAGATTGATAACGATAGGTTCCACAGTAACGTCAATTAAATTATCGAGTTCCCACATTTTCTCCTCTTCTTTTTGTACATGATGTATACATCTTTGCCAGTTATCTGCAGTTACTCGTTCCAAGGAATTTTTTAACAAAATTTTCACGTCACTTAATTTAAACGTCGTATTATTTCGCGCTACATCTCCTTTTACCTGCGCCCAGACTAATTCGATTGGGTTAAGTTCACAGTGATAAGGTGGTAACCGTAGTACCGTTATTTGGCGATTTGTTGCCATTTCATCGATAACATATTTTTTCTGATCTTTATTAAGATTGACAAGTGTCAAAAGTTCCTTTTTCACCATATTTGTTTCAAAAGAAATGTTTTTTCCGGATAACCATTGAATTATATCGGCTTTCCTCCAAGCAGTCGTAGGCGTCCGCTCGGTCTGCCGTGAATGGTAACTGGCATTATCCATGACAATTACAGACCCCGGAGGAATAAGATCCAACATCTGTGTAAAATACTCTTCGAAAACATCTGCGTTCATGTCTTCGTGATAGTCACCTGTATTTTTAGATTCAAATAAAAGTAAACCGCCATCTACAAAACCACTGGCACTACCTATATGTGTCACTATTAATCTTCGCCCTTTACCTGAAGGTGCCTTGAACCCTGTTGAAAGTCCATCCAAAAATGCTTGTCGAAAACTTTTTACATTTTTATCTTGCCATACTTTTGTTACAGTATATCCCTCGTTGACCCAAGTTTCGTCTAGATAATAAATATTCCTCCCTTCGTCACGGAATTTTCTAATTGATCTTAAGTAGGATCTTCGCCAACAAATAATTTCATCTTTATCGATAAGAACTGACTTCCTGTTCTGCTTTTCCCAGCAAAAATTCAACTCTCGTAAGACGGCCCATAATTTGCTTCTACTGATTTTTGGCAAATCGTTGTCCTCTGAAAGTTCACTTAAAATTTTGTTTAGCGTTGGTATTTCTTTTTTAAAATAAAATGAGTGTACTTTTCTGCGAATGACATTTTTGAAGAAATCATCTATAACGACTTTTGACCTCCCTGTAGATGATTTTGGGGGATTTACAGTATCTTGTTCATTTTTTGTTTCCTTTAAAAGTCTGTAGATAGTCGATTTTCCAATCCCTGTCATTTTTGTTAGCATTAGTGTTACCCGATAATTACCTGAAACGAAATATTACCACGCCCATGGCCGGTTCTTATCTCGGGGTTTTCATTGCCAAACAGACTATAGATGGCGTGAATTGAGACTCGCTCAGGTTCGTTTTGCAAATGAAATTTTTTTTTTCAAAATTAATAAAATAAAAAAATGACGTTATCAACTTGTTTTTTCCGCGAACATACTTATTTTTTATGATAACTAAAATCATCTACTTTTTATGAACATTTTTTGTGCAGAACTTTTTTCTCTATCTCTCCTCATTAAAAAGTTACAATAACAAACATTATATAAAAATGTGTCCTATTGTATTGGAATTAGTCATGATTACTGTGAAAACAATGGCTGAAACTGCTGTCACAAGTTTGTTTACATATTAGTTTCTGTCAAACGCTATTTCTTGAATAATAAACAAACTAGTAAATGGTTGTTATTTATCGACAGTTAAATCAGGAAAAGAACATTACACACATCGTATGGTATTTATTGATGAAAATAGCAATAAGAGTTTGATGTTTGGCTTAGGTATTACATTGTAAATAAGAAAAACTTAAAATATTATCTCTTGCATTAATGGAGATAATAATGATTATTATTTCCCGCAAATGGCTGTTTTATTACATTAATATCGAAGCAGGCAGTGAAACATAATTCACGTTTTATTTTATTTATCACGGATGGATATGAGGTACCGCATACGTCATTTTATTTACTTTACCATGCGATAAAATTTATAATAAAATGTTTATTCAGGCTTCTATGTAGTCTACTGGTCCCAAGGGTTTACCTCATAACATAAATAAATAGGTGTTTATCACATATTGGGTTTTTTATAACGTTCGTGAACGATTTACACATACGGTAGAGATTTATTATTTATACCCGATATTTGACGTTCTTAAAACAAACCCCAATAGCTCGCTTTGTGTTTTCATGCCACTGAAATAAAAATAAACCGGGAAAGTTCCCATAGCAAGCACCTCAGACGTCGATATTATAATCTAGATGAGAGTAAGAGTGACTCGAAATTACCTACTTCCTTTTAGTTTTGATAATTAGCAGTTTCCATAAACCCTAAGTTTCACTTACGGATATTATTTTGGGCTTTAGGTACAGCTTAATTGGAAATTTTTAAGGTCAAAAAAGGACAATCGAGTCAGCCTCAGTTGCTTTATACGACGAGCCGCCACTTACCAGTAAATTTCGTTAAGATAGATTTAGTATTTTATGCGTTTCAGGATAAAAATTGAATATAATTAAAACTTTTAATAGTGTGTAGTTACATCAAAAAATACTCAATTTTATTCATATCATAATCAAATATTTAAATATCTGACATTATAGTCACTTTAAAAACTGATATAATGCAGTCGTGAAATCACTAAAAAACTTAAATCGCCCTTTCTGAGGCCGTAGCCTTAGCCTTAACTTAGAATTTTTAACTAGCTCTTGTTCTTCTCGGACTAAGCTTTGTGGGGGTGGACCCCTAGGATCGCTTTGATATTAATTTTGGTTGTTGTTGTTTCTAAGACCGCTATAAACGGAATCGCTCCTCAGACAACGATGGTTCTATAACTGATCACATTCAATACTCCAAATGTTTCCAGCTACAGGGACCACTATAAAACGTCTCAGATGATCTCCATTGTCTGAGAAGTGGTTACGACGTTAGCGGCCTTAGAAACAACGACAAGAATCGAAGTCAGTATCACGGAGGCCTGGCGGGTCCGGCCTAACAGAGCCTAGCCCAAGAATAGCAAGGGCAAGTTAAAGATTCCTAGCAAATAAATTAAGTGTACCGTAAGTCTGCAACTGACGACGACCAAGATACACTTTAAATAATAGAGTAAATTCGAGGTATAGTCGATACGATATCAGTAGGAATTGAATAAAAACATTTAACTCATAAACTCTACGGAATCCATAGGCGTCCACAAAAATTTTGTCCTGTCTCGTCTAGACATACTATATTCCGAACTATATTCCTATTTAGTTGACGATATTCTCGAATTTTTTGTAAATAATTTTCTCGCAGTGCAACTATACGTCGTAAAGTATCTAAAGATTTATAATTATAATCAGGATAATCGCTTAATTTATCTCGAATTAAGTTTAAAGTAGGAACTTTATATTCCACGCCAAGCACTGCTCTCTATGACACTGACAAAGCCAAGTGAACAGCGTTTGACACCAAACTAATTATAGAATACCATGCAGAAAATTATTTACGACCTAGTGGACCAATACAGGTTTGCTTTGACGTCCAGCGCGCCGCCGTCGATTCTACATCAGGCGGACTGGTCTACCAATACCGGACTCGCCCGATGGCTATTCGAGTATAAATTACGAGACACATCATGGCTAAAGCATAGGAAGAAATTTCAAGAGAAGTGCAGACGGTCCTGTGTTTTAACAATAAGATTCACAGGTTTCAATTGATTTCGTAACAATTATACCTCGTATTTGTTTCAAAAAATGTTTGACTGTATTAGTAGATTAGCGATAAAGTCTCATCACTTACTTCAGAAACATGCATACGCCCGTACTCTCCATCGCCCTGCTGATCCCCTTCCACGAGGCCAGCATGCTGTATTTCTGCTTCGCCGTCAGCGGCAGCCTCGAGTCGACCTGGGCCGGGGGCCCGATGTCGTCCAGCTTGCTGTTGGCGTTTTCCGAGCTGCCCCTTCCCGCCAGCTTGCCGAGTTCGCACCCCATTATCACACAACTTAACTGGAGGAATTTTATCAAAGCGCACACATGCACCACAGTTCAGCGGCTGGAAGCGATCGCTCGCGGCGTACGGGCGAGTGGTCTGTTTTCTAGCAAATAGACGGCGAGGTCTTGTTCACACTACCTGCCATTAGCAGGTGTTAATTTAACACTGGTGCGTGGAGTTTGTGCGAGATCGCCGGTCGATTCTAGCAGCGGACGACCCCTGGCAAGCTGTCTCATTTACGCACTGGTGATGGCCAGCATCTGGAAAATACGGGAATCATGAACTCCGGAATCGGGAATCTTTTGTGTTTTTTTTATTCTTTTATTTACTTATTTATTTAATTAATTACACCACCCCCGTAATACAAGAATAAATTAGCGTTTACCCAATAAAACTTATAAAAACAAATTTATTATTTTATATTTATTACCATTTTGTAACGACAATTTAAAGATAATCAAAATATTTGAGGTCAGACATTAAACACCAGCGATATTCAATTCAGAATTAATTTCCCAGCAGTACTTTTTCAGATTGGTCTCAATCGGGTCTTATTGGCGTCGGGGATCGGTTTCTTGGTAAATAATGGAATTCCTGGAATAATTAAACGATTTCGCCGAAATTCCTCTAATCCGGCTTTCCCCCCTTTAACTGCCATTCTCCTTTTTTGTCGTCTTTTGATAAATTTATAGGATCAATTCTCGCAGAGGGGTCTGATACACTTTTATATCAGCGGGCGTTTACAGAAGATTGCGCCGTTAGCATTGTGATCTACTTCGTTGACCTTGATGTTGTGTATTTGTAATGGCGCCTATTGTGACGGTCGACATTAATAAAGTGCAAAAAAACTAACGCAAGGCGTTGTTTGTGACGCTATAAATGATGAATTTTATGAACAAATAAATATAAATATATGATGAACATTACATTTTATTAATTATTATCCTGTATTAGCCAGTAATGTTGCCGATGTTCTTCGGAATGAATGGCCTGTATATGTTTCAGGATGTTCTAGATTCTTTGAAATTTCTATATGCTTGTCCGTAGCGCACTTTCGACTTCTCGTGGAATAAAAATTCGCAGGCAGCATTTGCTGCACTTTCTATTTGAAAATCGCTCATTTAGAAATAATAATTCAAAGCCAGCAAAATTGCAACTTTTATGTACCTTTGTTTATAAACACCTTAGAAACGACAAAATCCAAACAACCAAGGCGACTGGAAGATTTCGAATAATGTCAAAATGAATTGATTAAGAAATGTCAAAAAATAAAACCTAATATTTATTTCATGAACCGTAAAGAACTGTGAGAGCAGATAAAATGTTATACACTACGCAGCAGTTAAGTATAATTTACCAGTCTCAGACTCTATTGCCAGCCCTCGCTTCACTCGGGCGCAAAATCGTCCTCGACTGGTAAATAATACTTACCTCCTTTATCGTGTAAATATCTATTAGTGTCTTAATTTTCTTATAAAACGCCGGCCTTAAGGATGAGATTGGATACCCATCTTTATATTTTCAGTTCCACAGACTGTACTGTTTTCTGTATTTTGAAATAAATCCCCATTCGATTTACTCCCGCATTCTTCGCTTATGAATCTGAGACGGTATATCCCAACATTGAAAAGTTTTTTTTTCCTAAGATAACACATAGAATAGATTTTTTAGATGTTGCAGGATTCCCAGTCCGTTAAAGTAATCCTCAAACGGCTCTCGTCGGAAGATGTACATTTTTCGTCGGCTCACCACTTATTTGATTCCGCATTAAAATCGTTTGATTCACTTACGACATAAAGCTCTGGCAGACGGAATTCAATTTAAGAATCCTCGCCGGTATTGGTAAATCCAGGCATTAGATCTTTGTGCCGTCGTAACAGCTGAATAAAACTTAAAGCCAGGGTGGTGGGTAATCCTATTATCACGCCCATTAAGGAATCCTTTTTTTTTGGACTTGGATCTGGAAATAAATGGGTCCCAGAATTAATTTAGTTAATATAGGAAAAGTCGAGGAGTTTCAGACCACTTTTTAAAACGGACACAGATAGGAAAACATTGCAAGGGACAAAAAAGTTTCTAAATTTAACACGGAATTAAGCCCTTAATCTAGAAGAGACCAGTGGCGTACCGGAAGAAAATTTGGGAGGCTGCAAAGAGATCCGATTCCAAAAAAAGTATCACTCTATAGATCGTGAGGCTATTAAGCAAGGCTAATGATGCAGGTAATCTAAGTTAGCCTATGTTCCTTTGAGGAGGTACATATCTCAAAAATTGTGGGAGATACAAAGAAAAAGCAAAAAACTTTAACACCCTGTACCATGGTAACGAATAGTTTACGGACATATGATAATATGAACTCTTTTACTTAAAAAAACACCCTGTATAATCTTTGTATAATGTTGAATTTTATTTTTTCTATGATGACAGGAAACATCAAAAAAAACAATTTTTATGTCTAAAGCAGATGAAAACTCAGAACACCCTCAGGGGTAGAAACCTAACAAATCGCTTTCAATTCTAAATTAGTGTCAGAGCAAAAATTCCCTGAATGGTCGTGACACGAATGGATCGACTCCATTCCAGTAAGCGTTTTGATTTCGCATGTTTGTTTGTGTGTCGATTTCTACGAGTATGGTGGGAATAAGCTGGATGTACGTACGACTGTTAACAATAAATAACCACGTTCAAAAATTTATTGCAAAAAATAAACCAATAAAGTAAAATTTCACGTCATTATTAGCGACCCATGAGAGTTGCATGACTGAATTAATACGATAACGAGCTGGTCGTCTAAGTAAGTAGCTTATTATTTATGTTTGCAGCAAACGCGAGAATTGTGGAGTTTTTGCAGAATTAATTAAAGTGACTAAATGCCAGTGCGCCGGCGGACTACAAAGCGTTCGAACGTTGAAGCCAAACAGTCACACAATAAGGTGTCAGTACTACAAACGAATAATTAATTGAACATATACTAAGAATTATAAAACATAGTGAAAACCTTAACGAATATTAAAAGCTAGGTTAATGACCGTACGTTGCGGTAGGTCAAGATTCACTCTCGATAAACCTTTGTGGGTCAGGAGCGAAATATGTTCTGCACACAAGCGAGGAGCTGCTAGTGCAGTTTGTATTGCTTCGCCGTAAATTAAAACAATTACTTACCACTAATTCTGCATTGCTATACACGGGCCAGTCTGAACACTTGCAAGATTAATGTAAACAATAACGGTAATAAGAGTAGTAACCACAGTAATAATGCATAACTAAGCATTTGTCAGATCTAATTGGCAGAAACTATCTAGACGGGGTGCGTAGTACTTTTAAATATACCAATTTTTTCTAACATGCATTTTCAATAATAATAAAGATTGTTAAAACTTGTTGAGAACTTCTGGAACCGTCCGTATCAATGCGGTAAGACAGTGGGTATTTAGAAAAATAGTCTGTTTGCAAAAAATGTTTCTACTAATCGAATTTTCCTATCTCGATTTATTTACTTCTCAAATAGCCTGTTCAAGTTTGTGCTACAAGGGTTGTTATTAAACGAAAGGAAGTTAAATGTGATAAAACAAAAAACGAAATGTCTAAGTATTACTATAAATGTAAATATAAATGTTAGAAGTAAATAAATTAATTTGATTTATTATAGGTTTATTATTTTTTTATTATTCTACTAGTGAAATAAAGTTACTTTATTCCACCAGTGGATAAAGTATCATTTTAAACGGTTCATATGTGTGGATAAAAGTCCGATTATAACGTGATTGTGGATAAAATATATGAATATGTGAAAACAATTTCTATTACATAAGTTAAATTAAAGTTTAATTTGTTATTAAAAGTAAATAATGGCTTTGTGGGGTTTTATTACAATATTGCGCAATTGACTGAAAAGCATTTAATGAGAATTTGAATTTAATTGAAGCAGTTTTAATTAAACAGTTAGGTCTTACTTTAATGCTTTTAGAGAAAGTCTATGCAATTTTTTAAAAATAATTATACTGTTTGCATTTTTAGTAACGACCAATTACCTTTATTAAAAACGAAAATGGCAATGTACACACGTCTCTACTTCTTTTCATCAAACATTCACTTTTTGCTCTGAGGGCATAGGTAATGATTAAACCTTTCCAAACTTCAATCGAGTCGACTTTTAAGGGTACATCTCAACCATTTAAATATTTACTTTTATTTCCTATTTATCTTTCCAGAGGTCACTACCACTGGGACAGCTTGTTTAAAAAAGCAGACGATCGGAAAATAATTAAATACTCAAACTTTTTCCACACGCAGGCAATTACATCTTTCTGTTTATTTTCCACTGTCTGGGAATCAAGTAAGTACAGAGGGAAATCCTATTTCAATGTCCTATTGTGATAAGAAAGTAATTTAATGAAAACGGCCTATTCATATGTTGCCGCTAATTAGAAAAAACAATGTGGAATCCTGTAGAGCTCATAAAGGACTCCTGTTCCAGAAAATAAGTTCGCTGTGCGAGATCCAATAAACAACTGCGCTAATTAGTCTGTGGTCGGCATAGAAACGGCATGCCAGGCCAATTCTTTCAGCTTGCTCAAATTACTGACAAAAGAAATACAAAATATGTCTTCAGTACATGTTGGAGTATATTAGTTTTACTTTACCTTTAAAGTAAACTAACGAAACTGATTAGTTTGCGGCAAATGAAAATATTTTGTGTAATTAGTGTTTTGAGACTGTGGGTAGTATGATTAAAATGGAGTTTTTTTTCAAAAGACATGCATACTATGAGTCACGACGAAAGTGACAATGTAAATTTTATCAATCCCTCACTTTTTTTAATTCCCTCCCGATGAATCTTGATTAACAAAAAAGTAATTATGTTAATTAATAATTAATTTTATATGCATATTTTTTTGTTCATAATATTGTATTTTACTTACACCTTTATAAATTTGTTTTTTGCATTTCAGTATTCAAGGTACTTGGAAATTGGAATTTAATGCCAATCAACATAATTGCCTAGTGTGTAAACTTACTTAACTAATTGGTGGTGATGATGTCACAGATTCGAGATAAGGGAATTATATTGACCTATTTTATGACAGGGGTCAATATTAGGTTTGCTCCTATAACTTGCATTTGGCAACTAGATATTATAAACGTATTCATTAACGTAAAATGACTGTAGCAGAAATCATTTTATTATAGGCAGTGAACAGGCCAAAATCTTCATTCAATGATTTTTTCATTACACTGTTTTTGTCTAACTAAAAAATCT